ACTGCGAAAAATTGACGCTACTATATAAGTACCTGTAATAAATAAATAATTGTTACAGTGAGTCAGTTTAGTTTCACAGTTTAATGCAATTCTTAGGTTTGAAATTTTGCATTACCATATTTTTCGCTCCATAAGACGTACTTTTTCTCCCAAAAAATTGAGGGGAAATGTCTGTGCATCTTATGGAGCGAATATTGAACAGGCCTCCCCCCGTCGCCGCGTTAGAATACCAGGCCAGCCAGCAGGGGGGCGCGGGGCCAGATCCGGAAGCTCCACTGACCCCACATCATGCAGCCTATATTATTCCGTTGCATCTGAAAATATTGAATCCTTTAGAATAGTTTCGATATATGAATATCGAATCTACCTGAAATATCAAAACCAAAAACTAATATATCGCAATCTTTCCAAAACACTGCAAAATTTAACGAATTCACCCAGACCAACAAATATACAAAACAAATGCCAAATATATAACAAAACGAATTCTGAAATTGAATTGGTTCAACATAACGAATATGACGTAACGATGTTCTTCAATAGATGAATGCATCCAAAACGAAATGATCATTTCCGGCATGCCCATGCCTGCATACCACAGCATACAGTATTTGCATTGATAATTATGCATTGAAGGATCAAGTGTATTGTTTAACATGATGATGTATTGTCAGCATATTGGAATTATTTACAAATATTTAGACAGAATAAAGGTGAATAAGATGGCTTAAAGCAACAGGTCCTAAAAGAATTGAGCCCTGTCATTTCAAAGCCCCTGTTTCTAATATTTAGAGACTCCTTAATGACTGGCATAGTACCATTGGACTGGTGTAAAGCCAATGTGGTGCTTATACTTAAAAAGGGATCGAAGTCTTTACTATGTAACTACAGACCTGTTTGTTTAACTTCTATAGTTGGAAATATAATTAACACGTATAAATACATAGGTGGTCCATATAGTGAACTCAGTGTAGAGTTCACTTGAACTTAATCACAGAGGACAAAGGGCATTCTTTACATCTGGAGGAAAAGAGATTTAATCTCCAAATATGAAAAGGCTTCTTCACAGCATGAGCTGTGACTCCCTCAAGAGTTGCTTCTGACCGGCTCAGTAGATTGTTTTAAAAAAGGCCTGGATTCTTTCCTAAATGAACACAGTATAACTGGATACTAATATTTACAGGTAAAGTTGATCCAGAGAATATCTAGTTTCCTCTTGGGGGATCAGGGAGGAATTTCTGCTGGAGCAAATTTGGATCATGCTTTATTGGTGTTTTTTAGCCTTCCTCTGGAAAAACTGTGGGTATAGGATTGTGTATATAGGATTGTATAATTTTTTTCCCTTATATTGGTTGAACTAGGTAGTCTTTTTTTCAACCAGACTAACTATGGAACTATGAATTGAATGAGAAGCCCCCCCAAACTCATAGTAACATTAACAATATAAACAGTTTTGGTAGGTCTGTTTAAGAGCAGGAGCACTATACTTCATACTTAGAAAAATAATAGGTAATTTGTCAAAAAAGGGGGATTTTGCCCAAAGAGAGACAGTTGGGAGCTATGTATACACATTATAGAGAAAAAGTTTAAAAAATATAAATGTTGTGCTTCAGACAGTTTGCATCCATACATTTGAGATAAATGTAAACACAGACAACAAGACCCCTTTGAAGACAATGGCTATCAGTACTTGACTTTTTCTCTCAAATCTGTTTATACAAGAAAACTGCATAGGCAGTTTGTTCTTTATCATTGGCCCCTATATGCTGCTAAAATGGTGACATTTTCTCCAGACAGGCAGTTATTGTGTTAAATGAGCTGTTTGCAGGAAGGATGCGTGCTGTTCTTTCTTACCTATTTTCAGCCCAGAGGGAGTCAAACATCCAATGTCAAGCAAAGCAAGTTGTGGTCACTAATTGTGTAATGGGTTAAGGGGGAGGTGTGCAACTCATTCTTATCTAGAATCACCTGAGAGAGAGAAAGAGTCCTGTCTCTTTCACAAATTGTACAATTAAGTGTTTGATCTACTTCATAAAAACATCAAGCTATTGACTTTGAAATGCACTCTGCACACATTTGTTGCTGTCCATTCCTCTATGCTGGTTGCCTCATTTCCTAGCTGCTTCTTCCTTAATAAAAATAAATTAACATAATTCTTCACAAATAGAACCTGGCACCAGAGATCTGATAAAATGGTCTACTTTCCCAGTCCATTTCCTGTTTGAGGAACCTATAGTAATAAGCAGTTATACCTTGTAGGCATATAATTTAAATTGTGCATGCTTACCCATTTAAAAATAAATATAGATCTTAAAACAATCTGGATTATACACATTTGATGAAGAACAATACATGGCTGTAACCCATAGTAACCAATCAAAGATCAACCAGCCAACAAGAAGCCTAGTTAAGGTATTAGTTACTATGCATTGCTGCATACTTCATGCTACCACTTGGCTTACTCATGTTTTTCATACTAAAATTTGTCTAAAACCATTAATTTAAAAATGAACATATTCAATAACATCCAATCATTCATGGCTCCTGTAAGAATATTAAGTGAGAACTCTGAACAATTCTGATTAGGTTTTAAGTCTGTCTGAGTGATTGAGATGGCTTCAGTAGACCTGTTATCTTCTGAGACAATGAAACTCTAAAAGGGTTAAAAGCAATAATTTAAGACTATCTAATCCTAAAAGGTATTGATTCAATTAGCAGCCCCTGGTATCATTGAAGGCCAGCCTTCTAGAAATGAACTTGGAGCCAGTCAACTGCTTGTTTAACTACTGTATTGAAGGATTAAGAGGATGTGACAGTCACACCACAATGGAAATGACAGTAACACCCAATAAGACTATTGTTATAGACATCATTACAAGTGTTGGCTCATTACACCCCACCTTAGCCTAGGACTTTAAATGTGTGCAGGTCACAATAAGAAGGTTAGTTTGCACTTTTCTGGAGAAAGAGTACACCAACAGTTCTGACTGGGAATGGAAAAGAAGGCTTACTCTGTGGAATGGCTATCAGAGAGCAGTCACAGGAATACTGCTTACTCCAATGTGGATTTATTGACATGTAGGTCTGGTACATCTACCCTTCAATATCACAAGGACTTCAGTACTCTGGGAATGGAGAGGCCAAGCACAACCACCAGCAGCAATGAGAAGGATAATCACTCAGACCACACAGCAGCACTTTACCAGGTCCAAAGAACTCAGACAAATGGTAAGATCTATGCTACCAGTCTTGCTTATGGTCATACCTGGGGGATATATAGAGGACTAGTCATGCCTGTCTGAGTCACTAAATAAGAGCAGGTATTCAGAAAAGGACTTCTAAATGTTCCTTTTCTTTAACTAATGTGCAATTTGTCTGGTTTTCTCTTAGGAAAGATTTACTTTACATTTTTATTTAAAATATGTGAGTATAATCATTTTTTCCTTATTTAATTAAAAACACAATTTTGTTTCTTTTTTTAAATGATGTGTATTTTTATTGATTACATTAGTATAATGTAAATTACTTTGCAACTTGTTGTCGCTATATAAATCCTGTATTATTATAATACAAAAAAGTAATAATAATTAATTTGCCTAACATTTTAGCCGTTTTAGTTCAAGATGTCTCTTATATATGGCTTTATAAATTATGTATATATTTATGGCAGACATGTGAGGCTTGGTACCCTATTCTAAACAACTGCTGAGATAAAAACCATATGCACATCTAGATATTCTACAATGCAAACTTTATTAAGACATACAAGTGATAAAGCACAATAGTTGTGTAAGAATCACAGCAGCACAGTTAATAATTAGATGTGCCAGCCAAATACATAAATCATTTAATCTATATGAATAATCTAGTTAATACTGGAGATACAAATCATGTTTCTGTTTAGTATTTACTCCATGGGTGTCAGCTGCTAAGACTTTGCATATAGTGTCATTGGTTGATTCGCTCAAAAGAACATTGACTGTAGTATTTTAAATACCTGAATCTAATTATAATCAACATCTCAACTGTCATTAGTTATTTTCCTTTTCTTATTACTAGTCTATAGACTGTAGGACATTGATTGTCTATAGCAGGGGTCTTCAAATTTTATAAACAAAGGGCCAATTATTGACCTTCAGACTTTAGGGGGGCTGGACTGTGGTCAGTGGGAGAAGAAAATGTCCTGGCGTTAGAGGGAGTAAACGATGCCCCATCATTGATATTAACAGGAGATATAGTGCCCCATCACTGGTATCAATGGGAGGAATAATGTCCCATTATTGGTGTCAGTGGAAGGAATAGTGTCCCATCATTGGTGCCAGTGGGAGGAATAGTACCCCATCATTGGTGTCAGTGGAAGGAATAGTGCCCCATCATTGGTGTCAGTATAATGAATAGTGTCCTATCATTGGTTTCAGTGTGAGGAATAATTCCCCATTATAGTTGTCAGTGGAAGGAATAGTACCCCATCATTGGTGTCAGTGGGAGGAATAATGCCTTATCATTAGTGTCAGTAGGAGGAATAGTGCCTCATCAAAGGTGTCAGTGGGAGAAATAGTGCCCCATCAATGGTGTTAGTGGAAGGAATAGTGCCCCATCATTGGTGTCAGTGGGAGGAATAATGCCCCATTATTGATGTCGGTGGAAGGAATAGTGCCCCATTGTTGGTGTCAGGGGCAGGAACTATGCTCCACTGTTGATGATGGTGGAGGGAATAATGCCCCAAGGGCCAGATAAAAGCAAGCAAAGTGCCGCATCTGGCCATCGGGCCACAGTTTGGAGACCACTGGTCTATAGCACTATAGATATCAGCAGGCTTTGTCACTTTAGGGCTGGTCGTGTAGTCCTACGAGAGTCCTGTGTTGGGTAGGGTTGGATTATATCTCATGAATTATTATAAGGACTTTTATCATTTTTATATTGTCTGAGGGTGTAGTTACTTGTTCACATGTGTGTTGACTTTTGCAGTAAATACAGACTGTTACAAAAATGCATTGTAAATGTATATATTTCTTATACATGCAGTTGTGACCACGCCTAGAACAGTGTTCAAAGAAGACTCCACTCACAACCCAAGTCCTGCTTCAGAGAAATGTCACAGCTCAGACACAGACAGTGCTAAAAGCCCCGAATCCCTTTCTGAAGACGATGCAGCATCAAGGCCACGTACTAAATTCACCAAAGAGCAGCTGCAGGAGTTGGAGAAGAGCTTTAAGGAACAAAGATACATAGGATCCAATGAGAAGAAGAGACTTTCCAGAGTACTGAAGTTATCAGAGACCCAGGTAGGCACAAACTATCTAACCATACTGAATTAATTATCGGCAGAGTGCAAAAACGGGAATCATAAGAAAATTTAGCTTTAAGCTGGTCCACACAAATTCTCCCCAGAATGCCTAATTTGCTATGTATTTTGGTAATAGTGGAGAAGGACCATATCCCCTGAACCTACCAGATTAGGTGTTCCATCAACAGGGTTTTTTTTTGGGGGGGTGATTATTTTATCGCATATATCTAAGTCCTCGAGTCCTGGAAGCACCCACTAAAGACCTACAATTGAGAAATGTTCTACCAACTTTGTAAAGTTTTCATGCTAAAGTAGTTATTTTTACATTGGACTATGTTTACACTAAACACACAATCAGTATCTAGACAAATTATATTTTCTTTTTACTTTTAGTTAACCTTATTAAGTATTGGGTTAACCTTACTGGGTTCAAGTTAACTTTAAAGTGAACACACATAGGGGGTAGTTTACAAAAACTGGAGAGTGCAAAATCTGTTGCAACTCTGCATAGAAACCAATTAACCTCCAGGTTTTATTGCCAAAGTTTAATCAAACAAGATGAAGTTGGAAGCTGATTGGCTACCATGCACAGCTGCACTAGATTCTGAGTGCACCAGTTTTAGTAAATCTACTACACTAGTAAATCATCAGCAACATTCATTATAATTTCTTAAGAGGCTGGATACAGATTTTGCAGGCAGATTTAAATGCCATATATATTCATAAATATGGGCCCACTAGTTTCACTATTACCCATCAATCACTGCCTGTTTTACAAGGTGATTCTTTAATGACTGTTCCTCCTCTAGACATGTTTTCAGCTGCTATAATGATAATGATCATTCATATTAAACTGTTCTAAAGAATAACTAAAATTCCTTTAACTATAGTTTTAAATTTGTAGCACATACAGTACATACACAGTAGATGTATTATAGTATTATATGCAATAACATAATGAATTTTGGGAAGGCAGAGTTAGTTAAGTACTTGATTTGGTTTATTGCACTGCATATATGACGGTTCTTCAAAAAGTTTCTTGTTTTTAACATACATATGTATGAAAGTGCAGAAACTCATTGAAGGCCCCTCACATTATTACATTTCTTTTTGCTTTGCTCCTGTTATTCTGGGTTATTTTTCTGTCTTGGATTTTTTTCTATCTTGCATGATGGTGGATTTTACAAAAAGTACCCAGAGCTGCAAAGCCTTTAAAGAGCTCTTAAAACAATGTTTTATTATAAATGTTTGCAATCCTGCCACAAGGGCGGAATTAGTCTCCATATCTATATCTGGGAACCTGATGTCTGAAAAATATGCTAATGTGTTTTCCATATCTATTACCAGATTAAAACATGGTTTCAAAACCGGAGGATGAAGTTCAAGCGTCAAAGTCAAGATGCACGAGTAGAAGCTTTCTTTTCTGGATTCTACATGCCATACTATGGCTACAAAGACTTCCAGACCCCAGCCTACCCTGTACGCCCTGGACTGGCCATGCCCCTTGCCCCTCCAGCACCCATTCACTCCTTTGCACCTCTTTCTGCTACAATTATTAGGCCAGGAAATCCTCCATCATCCATGACACCTGCTAACCTTGGCTCTTACCCACGTCCTTCAGTACTTGTGCATCCATCACTTAGTGAGTCGGTGGGGCTAAGATTCTCTCCATATTAACTTGAATGTGTTGAGACTTTTAATATTTAAGAAAGGTTGTGTTTTAATATTCTAATGGACATTTTGAAATGGTTACAAATATTTATTTTAAATGATGTTATTACTGATGCTTTTCTTTGAATTTTAACTTGCTGAATTATCGAGCAAAATATGGTTGGCACTTTAATTAATATGAAAAAAATAAAATGCTCATAATTTGTTGATTATTGAATTATATATAGAACATTTATTACCCCAGAAAATCACTGTATCCATGACTTTGTTTGCGGGTATGCTACCCAGGGCAGTAACAGACAGTCATTTTTTATCTTACAACATGCAGAATTTGATATCCAAGAGATTTGGGGTAGAGGGTATGGAACACAGCAAAAAGGGTCATGTAACTGAAATAACTACACGTAAAATATGAGACTGTGATGCACAAGTTGAAAGTAAGAGTCTAAGGAGGCATTTAATATACACATTGGTTATAAAAATATCATTTACAATTTTTTAGACCTTTGAGATGAATGGCATAAACACTTAAAGTTGAACTAAACTACCAGACTAAATTCAAATTCTGGGGCTACTAGGAGGTTTTTGCCATGGTGATGTCAGCGTTCCCCTTCATCACTGCTGCTTTAATCTTCTCCTGGTCTTCTTCTTCTAATCTTTAGCCTCTTGATTGTCCAGCCCTGGATGTCGTAATTCCCATGCTTGAACATAAGAGTTAACCCAGGCCATAGATGGATCCAAACTCAGCCAGTTCAGCGGGAACCAGCTGAATTTCAATTCATCTATGGGCAGGCTAGTTACACTGAAGCTGATCTATTGATTGATGTCAGTACAACCAGCCTGCTGGGATTTTTTTTGGTGCAATCACTGATGCTGGCTGTAATGGGGAAATCTCCTGCTGTCAGAACACAATAGCACAGTCGGAGGGATTTTCTTCTTTCCTTTAACCCATGGTTGAAGGAAAGAAAATTGCATAATGTATGGCCAGCCTTACTTCATCCCTACACAGAATCATGTTGAGACAGTGCATTAAGCTGTGCATGCATCTAGGACAAAATAGACAAAAAAAACTACCTCTCTCAGGACTTTTTCCAAAGGTTCTTTATTAAAGTATATGTAAAGCCCAAGTTTTTTTTTTATTCTTTTTTTGCCATTGCTGTTGTATTTCAAATTTTCCCTTCACTTCCTGTCCTGGATACCAACAGGAAATTATCATAAATCCCTTCCAATTAAGGGAAATCCCCTCTTAGCTAGTTGTCCCTAGTGAAAGAAAAATATTGAATATTATTTAAATTTGGACAAACTTGTTACAGAAATAAAAAAATTATGTTACATGTATAAGTGCACTGAGAAGACACAGTATAAATGTTTTAGTAACAATAAATATTTCAGAAATGTAAAGCCCAACTCCAGGCAATTTTTCTTTACCCATGCAGTGTGGCTGTGCCCGCACTACACAGATCAACTGTTAATTTTTCTAGGGGTCAGCAGAAAGCCCATACTCACCTGAGTCGCTGATCCTCTGGAAAACCATGCTCCCCCACGGTCCAGCAGTGGACTGCTTTTGTCTATGGAGCATGCTGATGTCAGGAACAGTTCATTTTTAAGACCTTTACAGCACGGGGGGTGCTGGACCATTCTTGTGTGGGAAAGATAGATGGATGTCATATCAGAACAAAACAGCAGTTAACCAGTGCAGTGTGGGCACAGCTCCACTGTATGGAAAAAAAATTGCCCGGAGTTCTGCTTTAAGATATAAATGCATTAAGCAACATAGGGGACAGCAAGGACCAATAACAATTATTCTTGTGCTAATTTATTTAGTTGCAAATTAAAAAAAATGTCCAGTATAAAAATGTGATTTTAAACATTATTTTGATGACAAATTATCTTAAAACCCAAGTTTCAAAGCTTCTGACACAAATGAAATGGGGTACTCACAAAAAAATTGTAACATCCAGCTTATTGTGGCCATACATGTTTCAGTAAATCATTGATCTATTTTCTGATTGATTTCTTCTGAAAGGAATAATTGATCTATAGTTGACAACCTACATGATCAATATATCACACACAGGATAGTAGGTGTCAAATGATAGTTAAGATATGTTCAAAGCTTATGGTTGTAAATTATTGATTGAATCACTCTTTTCATCATGTAATCTCATAATCTGATCACTTATACAATATAATTAAATTCAAGAATGAAGTATTTCATTGCTGTCCATCCACGCAAAACAAAGTTTCCACCCTGATCAGACTCAGTTTAATCACATTTTATCTAAATCAAGTCTAAATTGATCAGAAGGAAAGTTATTGTTATTTGCTTTTTTGTAGATTCAATCATTTTGATTAAATTGCACATCAAATGAAAAATAAATTCGAAGCATGTGTGGTCATCATAAGGGGCTGAGTACTGGACAGTAAATTGACAAATGCACAATCACAAATGTATGCAGTCTGTTGTTTACAGGATACCAATGCTATTTTTTACACCCTGAAAAGTTAATATTAACAAAATCATTGGGAATCCATGTTCTGTTGAATAAAGATTTTGCTTTAATAAATGAGATGTTTGTGTCTTGGCACTTTATCAGTTAACCAGGGGCAGACTGACCATTTGGAAACTCGGGCACTGCCCGAGGGCCCAGAGTCAGTAGGGGGCCCCATGAGATGCCCCTGGTACCTTTTTCATAGGCTTTTTTGAGTTTGGGCAAAGACACAGGGGCCCCATGATCCCCTATTGCCCGGGGCCCCATGAATTGTCAGTCCGTCCCCTGCAGATAACACTAATAATATTTAATTTGACACCTTACCAAGCAATACACAATGCCTTGACACTTTCTCAGAATGGAAAATTGGTACCTTACAACTCAAAAACAGTTACTGACTCCACTCCAATATACACTGTCACACAGTACAGTGTCAGCACAATAGGAAATATTTACATCAAATAGTCATTTCACACTTACTTTTTACACTTCTGAAAACCATAATGACCAGTATTTGAGAACTGGCTCCATTGTGACTCATATATGTCGATGTGTGACTAAACCCCAAAAAACTAAATGTTGTAGCATAGTCGTAGTAATAATAGTTGTTCTTAGATGTGGTGTCTGCATCTATTTTGATTTTTTTTGCCTATAATTCCTTTATTTTCTCCTGGTGATACTACCAGTAACACATTTGTTGTCCAAATGTGACAACACTTAAAGTGGATCACCTTTCCTCCAGTCATGTGCATGGATAGCTCTGTTTTTTTGTACCTTTCTGTTAATAAATTTTCCAGCCCCGTCCCCGGTCCCCCTGCACATCATTCACCTACACGAATGGCATGCACTGTCCTCCATTTGCCTTTTGGAATATGTGCATCACATATCCCAGGAGACAAAGCCTGTCATTCAGTAAAGATGGAGGGGGCAGGCCCGTAGAGACCGTGGAGGGAGGAAGTCCATTATGGACTCTCCTTCTTAGTGCTGGCATCAACAGATTCATGTACTTGTTTCTGACAGGTACATGAATTGGGAGCAAGCACCATTACCTTTGGTGCTGCATCCATAGGGAATTCTAAAGGATGTATACAGCACCCTTTATAATTTCCCCAGTTTATGTCCTTTTGTTTTCTTTGTTTGAAGTTTATGTATCATTGTCAAGCATTTTTTGTGGACCATGTAGTTTGAACCTTTTTGATAGATTGTATTTTTAATTGATACCATATGTGTTGCATTGATGTGTGTATGGTGTAGAGCTGCTAAAATTGAAACATATATCCAAAAGTGCTTAACCTTATTGTGAACCAATTAAAATATTTATACAAATAAACAAATAAAAATATTCAGTGATTTTAGCACTCAGTGATTCCTTATGGTGAAATATATATCACTGTATAAGTGATTATAATATACGTGCAAATAATATCTTTAGTATAGTGCTTGCAACAGACACTGGTAATAAATAGTGATAAATGTCCACAAGTAGAATAATTTTGATCATGTGGAACTCAAAACAACATGCACAACTTGTAAGTGCTGGTGATGGGTGAGAATCCTATAGTGGCTAGCGTGCCTGCTCACCTTCCCCCTGCCACCCGCAGGGGTCAAAAAGCCTCTTGGATCACTCCAGGATCCTACTAGTTATTCAAGTTAGAAGTAACTTTGTTGGCTCCAAAAAGACTCACTCCTCCTCCTTCCACTTATCCTCCACGACCAGACACCAGTATATAAGTTTTAGCTGGAAGTTTACAAAGCATTATAGACACAATCCATGGGTGTACTGCTGGGTCTCTGGAGTACCAAGATGGCGCCGGACCGGAAGTACGTCACCACGTTGCTATATCTACTTGTTAAGCTGCGCTTCATGCAGCGTCGTCAGGAGTTTTTGTACTGTTTGTATATGTGTTGCATTGCTTGCTTACGATCACTCGTGCAAATTGCTACATGCAGTGGCAAGCCAGACATGTCTGCTGTACATGACGGTGATTGGTGTATAGTGCTTTCACAGAATAATGACATTAATACTGCTTTTTCTTATTCTGGTGAAAAGTATTATTTATATCCACAGAACTGGTATACCACAGTGGTGAATTCACATTCCCTATCCATTGTTAATGATATTAACACTTTCTGTGTCTTATGCTGTTTAGCACTTTCTTTGGAACTTCAGTTTTCATGTGGTCTTTGATTTTGCTGTCCACACATACAAAAGAAACAATGAAAGAGAAGTCTGGAGGACAGCTAAGCAGACTAGTCTGGAGCCAGAAGGACCTCATCACCTTGGTAGGTGCTAAATGGAAGTATTCAAGTCTTTGTTGCTGAAACTTAAATTGGAAACAGTTTGCTATAAGCTGGCAATAGCTGAAGTCACTTTGTAATCTTTTCAGTATATCACATGAACATAACACTTGAAGATGAGGCCCTAAGAAAGGGGGGGGTTAAACAGCCACTTAGACTATCAGGCACCATTATTGAGGACTATTAAGGGTAAATATAGTTACAGTAGACATCATG